TGTATACTGACCTCTCACGTACCTGGTCTAAAGAAAATATAATGATAAAGCAGCTTGTAATGTACACAAGGATGATAGAATAAGAGAGAGTAAACAACGAATGGCTATTTTCTTCACTTCCTATATTAAAGGATATACATCTGGTCTAGAAAAATACTCTGAATTCAGAAAATACTCTGCTGTACAAAGCCCACTGTTTAGTCCCACCCACTATCTCTCAGGACTTGAGCCAAAGAACCCAGCTTTGTCCTCATGGGGTAAGTTGCCTCCAGAACGGTTCAGTGAAACAGCAGCTGTACTATCTGCACATGAAGTATAAGGTGATCTCCTTACACATTACACAGAGTGCTCGCCTCCCCCATACAAAGGTTTCCATTCACACTACCTAGTCAATAGGGGTCACTGTACGAGGAAACTGTTTATAATTGTCCTACATTAAGTTTTATTAGGCTTTCACTTTAAATGCCTCCCTCTATGAAAGCAGTATGATGGCTCTATACAAACTGGGAGTATCAAATGCTTCAGAAGTATCAAATACTTCATATATTTACTGTTTACACTGCCTTGGATTTACTACAAAGTGCCTTTCAGAACACTACAACTGCTTTTCTAGATTTTCTAAATGACTTAACTTTTCCAATGCAACTTCTTCATCTACTTTTGAACGGACAGCTATTATGTTAAATTACTTGAGACCAGTTTTATCATGCAGTGTATGCAACCTGCAACGCAAAAACTTTATACTAAGAATAGTATGTGCAATTTGGAAATATCAAAATGGGTAACAATCAGCCCTGTTTAAGCAACTAAGTCTGCTTAGCACAGAAGGATTTTGCGAGATAGGGGGTTTATGGTTCATTTATGGCCAGCACTGCATAAATACTCTCCAATCACACAACTCTTACAATGACAAAAGAAAGGGTGCTTTTTATTTTTCCCTGTGTGCAGTGTTTCTACAATGCTCACAGACTTTGTACAAGACAGACCATTAGTTTCTATATAAAGACTGCCATAAAAGTTTTATAGTTTATCTATAAATGTACAAAGATTGCTGGTTTCATTATAAACTTGGTCTCAATGCCAGTGGAAAGAAAAATTACCAGCAGAATAGAAGTAGCAATCTGCATAAGTACCAGCTTGCAAGCATGCAGACCTCAGTCATTCTTGTAGTAATTAACTGATATATACAATAGTTCATCAAATTATAGAGGAGCCATCATACCCACTTGAAGCAGCTCACAAATGGGAACTATCACATCATTTTTTCTTTCCCTTCCAGATGCGCTATAAAGATTAAACCAGCAAGGAACTGAACGATGTACTACCCAAAAAAAACATGATAAAAATAAATTGCATTTTACAAAGTCGTGTAATTCCTGCCACACTTCTCACTAATTGTTTGACTGTTTTCATATATTTATACATCAACTCTCTGCTGAAACACTGTTCCTGAGAAAAGTTCATATATCTACAACAAACTTCCTCATATTAAAATGAGCCTAGGATAGCTATTAATCTTGGGATTCATCTTCAAAGCAGTGGAAAGCCAAAATTCATACAGTGGTAAGGGTAATGCAACTTGTCCATAGGTTGGTGTTTATAATATTCCAATAGCAGAGAATTTCACCTACAAAAACAGAACTTCATTACCACAGCTTTATTACAAACCCAAACCAGCAAATGTGGTAATACACAAGGATTTTCCTTTTAGACTGTTGACTATTTTTTTTAAAGGATACTTCCATCCACAGTGACTGCATTTTATAAAGAATAACTGAGAGTTCTCATCTCTTTCAAATTGTGAGACCACTGCTAAAAAGCTAGCACTGAAAAACTGCTGTTTGTAATGCCAACAATTACTGTATTTCATGTTAGGTACAATCACATATACATAAACACACATTTTATTCTTAAAAGCTATTATAAAACCCCCTAACAAGTTAATATGCTCTTATATTTAAAAATGTATATCTCCAAATTACTTCAGCCCCCCTCCTGCCATTCAAAAAAGCCCCCTAGTTTTAACCATTTCAAGTGGCCTGGAGCAATCATTAGCATTTTCTTCCCTTAGAAAGGCTCCTAAGATACCTTGTCTATGACGTTTTCTATAAAATATTCTGTTATACAGTTATTTAACAGATTTAAACCGTAGATGTCATTGTGGTCTGAACATGTCAAAGACAACTTGAGGGAAAAAAAATCAGGACATGAAGAATTCACTCTGTCAGTAATTACAATCAAAATTCCTACAATGTGGCTAGCCTGCTCATTACTTCCTTACTTTGTATCAAACCCCTTATTTACATTTCAGATTACATTTTTCATGAAACAGTAAGATCTATCAGAGCTGAGAGGACTGAAATAATGAGGGAGAAATATTTTAATAAAATGTGTTGGGTCTGCATTACTTCCGTGTCAGAAAGAAAGGTTTCTTCTGTAGCGCTGGATCATTTATTCTGTCTCTAAATGAGAAGCAAAAGATGAAACTGATGAACTTTTACTGCCCATTTGTCTTTAGCAGACAATTAAGACAGAAGATCAAAATGGATTATCATACCACGCAGACAACTGGCCCAACAGTAATACATCTCCGGGACCACAGATTTGTAACTCTCTTTTATCCCTCCCCTTTCTTCTTACTCCTTTTTCCTCTCTAAAGGCAATGCTAGCTTTGTGGCTCAAGGGGAGCCAAAAGGCTGGTCATCATTATTCAGTCACAGATGTCAATCTAACCTCCCTTTTTTCTCAGTTTCTAAAGCAGTGAGGCACAATAATTTGTGACAGATTCTTTTACTGTAAGGTACAAAGAACACACAGAATAAAACATCTAGCAGCAGCGAGGGTCTCTGATCAGATGTGCTGGTACATGGGAAATACAGTGTATGTAAAAACAAGCACTGATAGTTTAGATGAATAAAAAAAAACTTGAGGTGGGTTTTTTTTCCCCTTCCTCTCCCCCCTTCCTAATAACTCCTTTACCTTGTGTTGATTTAACTCAAATATTCCTTATGGATTAAATCATAAATGTTTGATTGCTCGAAACAATTTTTGCCTGCACTAACATGCATATCATAGCTCTCTTTTGCATACAGAATACACACAGAAAAATCCAGGGTTTCAAAGTATCTTTATTTGCAGTGCCTGAGCACTTCCAAAACTTTTCCCTTAAAATAAAAGCCCAATAAACCAGAATTTTTAGGAAATAAACCTATGACTGATTTGCAGCCTTGACATTTCTGAGAGTCCTGCATTAATCAGGAAAAAACACGGCTGTAGCTCTTCCTTTCTGTATTTTTTTTCCCTCTGGCTCACCTGAATATTCATAAGTGATTTTCAAATCTGCATCTGTCAACTCCGGACACGTTCTTTTAGAGAACATATAGCTGCTATTAACACAGAAAATATTCCTTCTGTGCATCAAGGGGGAAATGTTTGTAAAATCTACACTAAGTTTGAGAAGTTTGGCTTCCTTTCTTTTGCTTTCCTTTAAGTTTCCATGTGCAAAAGATGTGATGATTTAAAAATCCATGCCCACAAACACACTACTGTGTATTTTGTGGGGCTTGACTACAACTGGGTGAACATCTTAAGAATTAAATATGAGCCTGCGGCTCCTCTCAGTTTGATTCAGTCTTGCATATTCATAGCACTATTACACAAGTCCAATCATTTGTTGCAGAAGGAAAAAGACTGTTATGAATTTTTTTAAGTCAATTTCATGTACAAGACTCTCCTGTAATACCTTGATTATGGGCACAGTTGACCGGAGCAGCTCTGGAGGACCACCAGTTCACATATGACTAATGTGACACGCTATAATGCGCTGACAAGTAGTTGGTCTATAGTGTAAATACAAACTATGGGACATATTTATTCACAAATTACTGACCAACAGTGGCAATAAGGATGTAGTCCCCCCAGAGTTTAGTTCCATACCACACTGCATGGGTAAAAGAAGTCCTAATAATAAACTACAGTGAAAAGCAGTCAGGTAGTTGAACAGCTGCTTTGAAAACAGATATTATTACTACTACAAAAGCAGCCAGAAGCCCTGGTCAAGGTCCCAGTGCATAGAGTGATTAGAGCCGAAGATGAAAACACTTGTTCTGGCCCTGATGAGCTATCACTTCTAATAGCTTGTTTAATGCTTTAGTCTAAATGCCACAAAAATTCGTATTACACAATGAGAGGGAAAGGATCTGAAATAAAACAGCTCTCCTGACCCTAACTCATTGACTCACTGAGGCAAAATTTGGTTCTATTAAATAGTTACACAATGCCATAACTTCAGTACCTCCCAGAAATAAAGGTGCAAGAATCAGCTTGTGCCTCCAGCCCCAATGTAGTCACCCCAACCACTAACAACAAGAGCACTTACAGGCAGCACAGTAATAATCCCCTTTCCCTAATCTCTGCCCCCTGGCCCAATCCGCATCTAATGAGACACAGTAAAATAGAAGATAACTTCAAGCTGCTAATTTCAAAGACAGCTAGAAAACCTGTGAAAAATCCCAGATTCAATCTGTGTATAAGCTAAATGATAAATACCTGTGGGCTCTACCTGCATATTCGGATCTCTAACCCATCTTTGTCAAACAGACTAGAGACTGCATGATCAGGCAAGAATTTTTAGAATGTGCTGCAATGCCAGGTGCCCAGTTAAATATAGCTATAAACCTTTCAGACAATGAAGTGAGGACTGCCAAATGAACTGCAGGCTGTGGCACCTAAAGGCAAAAAGTGAAATTTATTAATCAATTTTCCTTCCCGCTCTCATGTTCGCTTGTAAAACCCAGATTGTAAAACAATCTTATGAGCTCCAAAATTCTTCCCTTCTCTGCTTTACATGTAAAAATGTTTTTATCCTTCTGCTCCTAATTACAGCTTCTTTTTCTTTCTAAGAATGCATTTATCTCTTTCAGTAAAAAGAGCAGCAATAATATGTTGAACAACCCTGAAATAAATTTTGTCATGTAAAAAATTAATTACGCATTCCAAACCTGGTCACTGTAGCCCTCTGGGAATTGCCTCCGCACCTCAGGATCTGTAAATAATTGACAGATAATATTAATTGGCTTTGGATTAGTGAGCAAGCAGAGAATCACACATTAATATTTGATCAGAAGATGATAGCAACCCTGGCAGGGGATCCAAGGAGGGCAGCTGAGGCTGCTGTGTTGATAAGAGCAGGGAAGGACTTTTCAAGGCTCTCCCTTTACCCTCCTCCAGAAAGACAAAAACTGCACATAAAGCATACACACAGAACACACGAAACCACAAATATACGTGTGTATGTTTGCATGTACACACAGACATATAAATATATCATTATAGATACGTTATCTTATAAGAGATGTCCTGGTGCTACACTGAACTTTAGGCAGTTACCTTGTACAATATCTTTCTGGCTGCAATTTGCCAGTGAGGCTTGTCACCAGAAAATGGTTACCAAATGCACTTAGATTTTTGGTTTAATTGGATAAGTACTTTTGCCAGCTACAAACACTGTGTTGGTTAATATTGGTAGTTTCCAGTGATACCAGATTATAAATCTCTCAGAATTACTTTATAGAAATGCTAAGATGCGCTCCCCTGAAAACAAAAGTACTTATCCTAAAATCGAAAGAGGTAATTAACAGAGCCCTGGAACCTCTGTCATCAGGCAAGCAAACATTAAATGCTTCAGATTAGCAAGCATTCAAGACTGATGCAGCCTCCTTATTCCTTTGGCTGTCAGAATAAATAACATGGTAGTATTCCCTGAGAAGTTACCTTAAATTTAATTAGAGATGTTCATAAAACAACAGAGTATCATCATCGAAATTATTTATACGACAACCGATTTAAAGCGGAACTCTTCAAAGCCATCCATTTTTCAAAGGAATACAGCTGAGAAGGCCAGACTCCATTCCACAAATGACTTTTTTTTAATTACAAAACCCAAACCACACAACAATCACACAAGAGTTCAGAATGAAGTGCAATGCATGGAAAAACCAGCTGGTGTCCTGAACAGCTTCTACCCTTTGTGTGCTCAGACAGGTCCAGTTGTCCATGCTTGGCTCACTGGATACACTGTTTTCACAAATTCTGATCGTTATTTAGGGAGTGAGGTTGCATACCCCACCTCTGCTGCTCAATTACTGCTGTACTTTGCTGTAGCTAAGGCTTGAAGGGAAAAAGTCATTTTCAGGCCACACACACCTTACACTGTTATTTCAGACTAGTTCCACCCTACATTTCTCATCAGCAAAGCTTGTTTTAGTGATCAATTAGTTGATGAGCAATTCCATTGCTACCAGATGCACGCTTTTTAATAAGGTCTGTTCTTTTCACATTAGAAATACAGTAAAACCATACATTTGTAAGTTTCTGAACTTAACTTTTCCCAGACAATCAGATGCTTAGTTTTAACATTCCGCCATTATACACAAAGACATACATAATATATCAAAATTTACATACGTGTACGAGCAAACCCTCTACTTTAATGCAACAAAGTAGTAATGCAAAGCGAGGGATCATCTTTTAAAGCTTTTGCTTCAAAATTCTTAAATCTCTATGCAGGTAAGCATGCTAAGCAGTGTCCAAACACGCAAACCAGTCTGGACAGTGGAATTAAAACACTATTGTCCAGTTAGTTGTTCCTATTTCACCAAAGCATTCACAGTATCAGTGGTAAGATGAAAGTATGCAACACCTATCATGACGCATGTTCTTAAGTATTTTTAGAATTATCTGCTTGAGGCCAAGCTTTCAGGATTTCACATAAAAAGACCAATCAATGAAAGGAGTTTACAAATCCAAGTACATATTACTTTAGAAATCTGCAATGATGCCTGGCACACAACACTGACATTCCCCACCTCTATGCTTTCTATTGACCATCTACTTTCAAGGTTAATATAAATATACATACACAAACTGAAATACACAGAACTTTATCATTTACCATTTTTTAAGGAAATGAGGAACTAAATCAGCACAGAATTTTACTTTGCTATTAGATAGTCTTTTTTATATCTCTTAACTAGTACCATTCCACTTTTGCTTGTCTACTGATCTCCATCATAAAGGATAAATTATTTCTACCTCTCTAAAATTACACAATAAAACATACACACTCAGTAAGAAGACAGGAGAGAATGTGCTGGATGGTTGCTGTGCTCTGCAGACTTCGAGCAACTGAAGCAGTTATGGTTGCTTTCAAGACCAAGCAACTGATGAACACCTGAATCTGGGCTTTGGTGAATTGATATCCTCACGCAGACAGCATATTTCACCCAACAGATTAAATAGTGCCATAGTGTAATTTAGGAAAAGATGTGATTAGAGTCCCCACTTGAGTCAGTTTCTATAGGTTCCAGATGAACGTGTTCTGAAAGCACACAGTCTACAATTACATTTTCATCCAAAAAATGGCGCTCGGTGTAATGATACATTCAGAAGCCAAACTGCCTTTAATATACAGTTTGGATATACAGTTTGTATACAGTCTGCTTTTGATGACACATCTCGTAACAGCATCAGAATAGCTAATCCATATAACCTGGAACCCCACAGTTAAGAAAACCACCTTTAAATCGTGCCTGGCAGCCACCTGTTCACACTTCCTCATGTTTTTACAAGTACTTTATATTTACCGTTGCATCAGCTCCATCACTTCAGCTTTTAAACGGTCTGGGAATATTTACTAAACTTTTGGTATCTTTATTTGGAAAACACTACACAACGGAAAAAGAAACTGCATCACATCTTGTTATAGCTTCATCACTTTACCCATTCTTCACTGTTAACCTATGTTCATTTGAAAGGTGTTTTCAACTACGCTTACCTACATATATTCACAATTACATTTAAATTCTCTGTGGCCACTACATGAAGAGCCAGGAAGCTGGAGCACCCTCACTAAACCAAGAATCACAGAAACAGAGGAAATACAAGAGGGGAGCTCTGCCAAGCACTCAGAATTCAGCTTTAAGCAGCATCACTACTATCAGTAAAACATGCTCCAGCACTCATACAAAATACTTGGTAAAGACATGAACATAACTGACTGTCAACTCTGCCTATAAAACTAAAGTAGCTTGAAAACTTCAAACACTTTTACCAACAGTAATTTGTTTTGCACACTGCCTGCAAACAGCTGTAGCTCCACAGTTCCTACAGACGGTAAGAAACCCTCTGCAGTTTCTTACTGTCTCAAAACACAGTGAATGCTGTCATTCTACGTACTTAACAGCTTTTCTAATGAAATTATCTTCAAATATTTTCCTATTTTGATATTCCATAGGCAAAGTAAATATGTAAAATATATTTTTCAAGTTCAGGAGAGTGGAATCTATGTGCTGACATAAGGAAAGGACAAGACCAAAATCCTACCCAACCTCTTGGGTTGTTACAGTGAAGAACAGAGCTTGAAGGTTTCCAGTGCACCAGTCACCTATAAAGTCATAAAGCATTAAAAGCTCAGCCGAGGTCAGCGAAAGGCGACACTGCAAACCGACAAACGAAGAGAAAGTTAACAACAAAGATGAAACCATGAATTATGAAGCTCCCGTGAATTATGGAGCTGCTTCTCAAACTAAACTTTTCCCAACCCCAAAACATGAACTCAGGTTGTGCTACAGGTTGAACTTGTACGTTGATCGTAACTTAGTATCTCCTGTTCATCTTTCATTACATCTGATTCTGCAGTTTCAGCTCCCAAAGATGACAAGATATGCAGTTTCTGCCTAAAGCAAGCACCAACAAACTTCTCCAGAAAATAACCATGCATTAATGTTGATAGCACCAGCAATTGTAAGTTACAAGTGTAAAGCAGAAAGTATGCAAACAACAGCTTTCCAAAACAAAGCTAAAACACACCATCTTATCTGCAATCTCCACATCTTGTACAGGCACAAGTCCAGTACATACACAGCACAAATTAAAATTAAACTGCTGGTGCTAAGACAGCCAATTTTATTCCTAATGCTTACACTCAGGTTTAAAAAGCTTTCAAACCAATGGCATGTCATATAAATTTCCTAAGATTCATGAGTGACTTCACTGAAGGCAGAGTGGGTTCACTTACCAACCTAGCACTTCATCACAGTGGATCCACTTCCCAGTGGATACAGCTCCATACAATGCAGCTGCTGCCCACAAGGCCTGGGCTGGCCAAAGCCCTGGAGATCCACTAGCCCTTATTGCTCACAACCAACAGCCTGTTCTAGGGAGGGCCAGTGAGGAAAAACACATATAAAAGGGATCACATGATTGTTTTGAAGCAGTTTCCTTTGCAACTATTTTAAGAGGTGGTTTTGAGGGAAACTACTAAACTCCTTATTCTATGAACAATATGTGAAATCTTTGTAACTGATCATATATTTTATTCTGAAGAGAGGTTAAGAGAAGATAATGCTGTTTCTCAGTGATACAAGAGTAAAACTCTTGGGTATTGTCACAGTGGCATTTTGATTCCTTGCCATGCATTTACAGACTAACAACAAATGGATAAAACAAACCATTGATTCCACACTGGGTGAATACAGTTTCCACTGCTAACGCATTTAGTTCTTCCCTCTAGTAGCAGAGATTCTACCTCACATCTACACACATTATGTAGAGCACTGTATTGATTACTCAACCATATTCAAGTTATTACTGTTAGTATTTTACTAAAGATGTGAAAGTTTCCAAGTCCTGAAAGCTGTTACTGCCTCTCCCTACAGAAACTTGTTCAACAAAAAGCCAAATACAGAAGAATAGTGAAATTAGCTGTGAACTGTATAATCCCATTGTTCAATTTCATGGCATTTAAGACACTACCTTCCCCTCCTCACAAGTCTAGATGTTAATCCATGCTGTAACCTGATTTAATTTTCCAGATGACAGGATGGGAACATGCTACAATGGCATATTAGTGTAACTATGCTGCTCTTTCAACTTTTCTTACATCATAAGTTGAAGAGTTTTGCTTTTAAAAGAGGCATGCTTAATTACTTCTAAAAATAGAGCAACTCACACTGGTCTGTATTTGAAGTGTATGGAATTATAAAA